CCAAAGATAGTTATATACTAAGAAACAAATTAAAAATTTCTGAATTTCGTAAGAAAAGTTGGCTTCGTATCAGCTCTGGAAGTTTGGCAGAAAAATTTATCTTTTATCATAACACATAGATATGTACTAATAAATAAAAAGTTGTTCATTATACAAATCTGAGAAACTGACGGAATTATAAATAATATTTTTGTTTCAAAAAAAATTATAATCCAATATAACACAAAAAATGAGCATAAAGAAAGAATAAAGAGAAGTTTTGAAACTTAAAAGAATAGTTGGCTTCGTGCCAACGCTGGAAGTAAGTTAGAAAGTTTCTCTTTTATCTTGATTTGCACATGCTAAGAAAAGGTTGTTTATTATATAAAACTTAAGTATTATAAATTATGTAAATTAATAAATGCATATGCTTGAAAATAAATTATAATCCAACATAACCTATAAACTTTACCTTCGCATTTAAAAAAAAAAATTGTATAAAGAATTTCTGAACCTCCTAAGAAAAGGTGGCATCGCGGCAGCCCTGGAAGTTAGACGAAAAAGTTTCTCTTTTATCTTGACTGACACATGAGCTGTGCGCTAATAAAGAAAAGGTTATTGTTCATTATACAAATCAGAAAAACTGACAGAATTATAAGTAATATCTTTGTTTCAAAATAAATTATAATCCAACATAACACTTAAAAAATGAGCATAAGGAAAGAATAAAGAGAATTTCTGAAATTGGTGAGAAAAAGTTTCTCTCTCTCTTTATTCATTTATTTATTTTTTACCAGACTGGCATATTTTAATATAAAGATTGTTTATTATACTGAGCTAAAGTATTTTAAATTATGAAAATTAATAAATGCATTATTGCAACAAAATAAGTAGTGATCCAACAAAACCTTAAAAATTCACCTTTAAATAATTAAAAAAAATATTTTAATGAAAGAAGAGAACTTCGCAAGAAAAACTGGCATAGTGCCAGCGCTGGCAGTGCGGCAGAAATAATTTTTATTTTATTTTGATCGGCACATGCTGTGAGAAAGAAAAGGTTTATTATGCAAAACTGAAAAATTGGACTTATAAATGATGAATTTTAATAACTGAATAAATTTGTTTCGAAATAAATTATGATCTAAAGTAATCGCTAATCTTCAATATTTCCGGTAATCTTTTTTATTTTGGAAATATGTACAGGGTGTCTCAGAAGGTCGTGTACAAACTTAAAGGGGAGGTAGAGAATATCGTTAGGATCCACAACTACATAGGCGGAAATCAATAGGTGGCGCTGTATGCGAGCTCTCGAAGTTAGCACTTGTGGGTTCCTTATTGTAGACGCCGACTGCCTGAGCTCAACCTGAATCGTTTTATAGACGCCGATCTGGTGGATATCCTTTTTATCTACGGCCTAGCCAACAGAAACAAACGTGCTGCTGTTCGAATTGTATCGGGAGAGATATCCATCGAGGAGCCAACCGAATCATCAAATTTTCGCTCGGGTGCACCAGAACCTAACCAAACGTGAATCATTTACAATTAGAATGGATGGTGTTTTCTGCACTAGGGAGCGCTGCAAGCTCTATACCGCTTATACTTCCGGGTTACTGTATCCGGTATATTTTAAAGCCATTTGGCTCTCAACGTGATCATTGTGTTTTGAGATTCTTGCATACGTGGTATTTGATTACTTATTGCTTGTGTTTACAATGCTAAAGCTGCTAACGCTAACGTAAGATGGTGCACAGCTTGCAACAAGAACAAATAGTAATAAACAAATGGAAAAGGGTCAAGTAAGGACGGCCAAAAAAGCGAGTTATTCAAAATCTAGCAACCATGTCACCTTTTTTAACATTATGTATATATGAATAACTAAAACAAATTTTCACTTCTATCTCACCAGAATTACTTAAGAACATTAATCTCTTACGAAATACAACAGATTTGAGCTCAGAAATTATCTAATTTACTTCTTTTAGTGAAAAAAAAATTATCCGTTTGAAAATATCGCCTCGCAGAATAAGCTGTAGTAAGCAGTTGCAAACTTTCTAACCGGAACTAGAGCAGGTATAGAGCTCGAGATTGTTATTGTTTACATTTATATTAAAAACACCTTCCATTGAAGTTACTAAGCAAGGAGGGGGGGGGGGCAACTCGAACACCCATATTCTGTCTGTTGCATGCTGTGAACCGAAATCTTGATACCAGTATACGGGAACTTGCCTTTTGCACCGGAGTATCTCGTTCAAATGTCCATCGCGTACACCCCTTTAGTGTTCCGAGAATTCAGTTATTACAGCAGGATGATCACTCAGTGAGAGTCGCGTTTGCTCAGTGTTTTCTACACCAGAGTGCGGTGGATGTTCAATTTCCCAGTTCCGTTTTGTTCAGTGATGAAGCAACCTTTTCACGTGAATGGGTGTTCAATACGCACAACACACACATGTAGACCTACATGGAACCCGAACACGAGTAGAACAAGGCACACACATCACCGTTAAGGTCTGGGTGGGGTATCGTGGACGACAATTTAATCCGGCCATACATCTTACCACCTCAACTGGAAGCCCACAAGTGTCTCATCTTTCTTTACAAAGTACTTCCAGAAATGCTTAACAATGATCCCGCTCCTGTTAGATGCAGAATGTGGTTTCAATAGCACATTGTGCCATCTTATTACGGAAGGTGTGTACCAAACTATTTGGAACGGATATTTAAAAATTGGATTGGGAGTATAGGTCCAATATCTTGGCCTCCCAGATCACCTGATTTATATTTCCTCTTAATTTTTTTCTCTAACGATTACATTTTTAAAATTACGCGAGCTCACCTTCAATTACCTTTGACTGTAGCTTTTCTGTATTACTCCCATCACCGCAGAAAATGAAGTGGATAGTAAAGTTAATTTAGCTACGGAACTAGCATTATGGAAAGTTTCACTACTTTGCGTATAGGGTGTAATTGTTTTGTGTAAGTTAGAGACGTGAAAGTTTTATGACGTAATTACTGCTGTAAATGTTTTTGTATTAAGAATTCTTTAATTTTCAATGATTTTCGTTAAATTAATTCTTTTTCAAAAATTTGAAATACATAAAAAAGACTGTTTTGTTACGTTTAGAAAAATATTAATCATTCACTTCTTTTTAATTGAAAACTAAACATGGTAACGTAACTTTTTAATAATCGGACTTAACATTCACCAAAGCAGTTATAAATAAATCATTTCGTCTAAATTACTTTTTTTTAAAAACGAAACTTTTTTTAAATTAATTTTTGTACAACTTTGAAATAAAAGAAACAAGATATTGCGTGCCAAATTTGATTCATTCGAACCGGATATCTTGTTTTCTTTAATTTAAAATCATTTTGACATTTTGAGTTAAATTAATGGGAAGGGTTTCGTGTTACTCATCCATCATTTGACATTAGTTATTTCATTTCCTGTATTTAAATTACCAGTACGAGCTATATCTCATCAGTTTGACAATTTAAATATCATCCAATCAATTTTGATAATTTTATAAAGGAGTATGCCTTAAGCCTGACAAGCATTCATTGATATCTAATGAGAATGATTAGTTGATTGTTGATCATTCCAAAAAGGATTTATGTAAAGAATATTTTTTATTTGAATAATTGTAGTTATCAATAATCCCTAATAATGTACATGATAAAATGGACGTTTTAAGAACTAGGAATACTTATAAAACAGTTCAATAGAAAGTCCTATAAGTCTAAATGGCAGCTATTATCGCATAATTTGTTGACAATTAACTACTGTTTATATTTCAAAACAGTTATTTGTTATGATGTTTGAAATGGCATTTAAACATCTGTCAGTTTATTTTATGAATATTGTATGAGAAAATGGATATTTAATTTTTCTCACAAATAAATTGAGAGAAAAAAATATTTGAAGTATATCTGTCATAATATCATATCTAATCGAAACATGTTAGTAATTAAACAACATACACAGATTTGATAATTAACAACTGTTTTTCTTATAAATAGTTATATGTCTTAATATTTGAAATAACATTGAATAAATAGTTTATTTCGTGTAAAATATTCGAAAAAAGGGACATTTAGTTTTTGCCTTGAAATTAGCTGAAGAAAAAATTTATCAGGATCATCTTACAGAATATCAACTATGATCTCACAGAAAACCATACTAAGAATATTACTAAAATACTTCTTAGAATATTACGATACTTAGAAAATTACTAAAATATTTAAGAGTCTAAACATAGTTTCACAAATTATAAAGACAAAAATTTATATTTTTTAAAACTAAAAAGTAACAAGAACTAAATTATTAAAAAAAAATTACAGAATATTATGGTTTTTTATTCTTAAAAGGAGCTCATCTAAAGGTTTGGCGGAAAGTGCGGGTAAATTGGAACATTGTTTTCAACTATTTCAACAATCTTCATTGTTTTTATGTATCATTGTAGTTTGTTGTGCAATTATAACAATTTTTAATGTTTTTTATGTTTTAATTTGTATAGTTAAGTACATAGCTATAACGATACAGGGATTAATGATCCCAACGTGGTGAGCTAGGTTCGAATCTCAGCGATGGCAGGTCGATATGAATTTTGCTGCCGGCTCTCACAAACCACAGTGCTGACGTAAAATAAGGGTTAACACTGGTCTTTGGTTAGAATCCCTTGCCATACGTAGGAGGTTTTGTAGTTTTTCTTTCTGTGTAACGCAAATGCGGGTAACTCTCTCAAAAAAGCCCTTTATGAAGGCTAGTTTGTTTTAACGCATCGTCTAAGTGTTCTTTTGTCTTCTGTGTCAGGTTGAAAATTGCAAGGCTACGGAGTTGAACATTGGTAGTCCTAAACTACAAAATAAGTCACCGTTTAATGGGTTTTATAAAATAATTTTAAACTGTCAAACGACTCTTGAAATTTCGACAAAAAATGTTCCTTTAACAAACTTACTAATAAGATTTATTGCTTATATTAATCAAGAATTATGCATTAAATGTTTGTAAATTTTTGTTGTAGGGGGCTCAAATTGTGGCAGAGGAAGCAGCTCTCTCCGATCATCGGACACTCCAGACGACTTGTCACTTTCTCCTGGAGACTGTCCGACCCCCACGTCCGGAGATCCAGACACAGAATTGTCGTATACGGTCGGAGTGACCGAGAACACGCCGTATGGATGTCAGTTCTGCGACAAGGCCTTTCCTAGGCTTAGTTATCTCAAGAGACACGAACAGGTAATGTTTTAAATATGTTGGTCAAAAATTAGTTTTTAATTTAAAGAAAAGTATTGTCTCTTAACCTAGAAGAGTTTTATGAAAAACATGCGAAATGACATTTTGAAAAATCTACTTGTACATACAAACATCAGCAAATTGTTTGCAAAATATGTTATTAAACTATCAATACATAATTATAAACTGTAATTGTAAATATACAATACATTAAGTGAGATTTTGGAAAACCTGATGCATAAAACATTAGCGAATTGTTTAATAAACATAACCGTAAACAGGAGAACATAAAGAAAATTTGTAAATTGTTTACAAAACATAATTATGTACTGTAACTGTAAAAAGGACATGTTATATGACTGTACTGCTTGTGAAGTGGACTGATCGTAAAGACACGGTTCCCAGTAGAATACCGAATTTAAGCATCACCGGCTGCGGTCAGTAAGCGGGTGGGTGACCACTTTGATTTGCTTGGATTAGGATGCGCTTTGATTAGGATGCATGGTATTGGTCCTCGTTAAGCTGTTCTACCGTAAAGTGCTCGACGTCGCTCGCCTACCGAAGGGGTCGTTGGGCTACCAAAGTGGAGGAACCATCCCCTCTGCAAAGGATCAAAATTGTGATGGCATGTCTTCGGATCATCCTCGGTGATGTTTCCCAGACAGTTGCCAATAGCCCGGTATGCAGCTCTAGTGAGATGCAAATAAAAATACCTACCTACCTGCTTGTGGTTAAAAACATTAAGAAATTGATTACAAAACACAAACTGTTAAGTAAATGTTGGAAAATCTTCTTACGCATAAAATCATCAGTAAATTGTTAACAAAAAAAATGGAATTGTTAACATATTTATAAAATAATATATGTTTGAAGTTATGTTTCAAAATACGTTAGGTTTCAGAATTGAATTTAACATATTTTCCCACTAAGCTCTTAGTCTTAAAATTTATTTTTATTATCCGTTTTCCAACTGAATTTAACAGTATGGAATTTTCAAAACTTTAACTATTACACGATGTTATCATAAGATTGGAACAATACACAGGCGCATCGTCACAACATTCTTACTAAACAAATAGCTCTCCAGAATAAATACCATTCCCTCCAGTTGGAAAATGATTCTACCAAGCATGATTGCATAAACTAAAAAATTTTGAATTAATATAAAATGTTACAAAACGATGAATCTTTAACGATATGGTGTGATTTTTTACTAAAAACATGATGTTTTATAATTAAATCAACTTGCTCTAAATTTACGTAAATATGATATCTGTTGGCAACAAAAAATAAAATGTCTTGGATATACGTGATAAAATGTCACGGATATCGGTGCACTGTCACGGTTAGATGTCACATCAATAACTTATTCGATAATTGTATTCTAAAGATTTAACGATTAAAGATTTTAAAGATTAAAGTTCTTTTGCCAAAGAAAATAAAAAAAGTCACTTTTAAAGTGCCTTTCACTCGAGGAACAGAGCCATAATTCTAAGCTTTCTATACCATCTTGCCGTGAAGGCTTTTCTTTTTTGGGGGGGGATCCCCAATTTTCTTTAGTTTTACATTGATTGATGGTAAAACAGATTGGAATGATGGTAAACAGATTGGAATGATGGTAAAAAAAATTTGTACTTAAATTACACCAAAATCAAACACAAATACCTAAACCTTTTTATTTCACATTTTTTGGAAGATACTGTTAAATAGAATAAATATCTACCAGTAGTTTATTTGTGATAATTAAATAAAAAGGATAAAAAGCATATTTAAAATTTCCCCTTCCCGTCTCCCCTCCTTTAACAGTTGCGGTCGGTCGGGATATCTCGTGTCTATGATACAATGACAATAACTCTCTATTACTGACCAGAAAAATGTAAATTTTCAATGTCAAACATTCAAATGTTAATCGTTAATTAAAATAATTGATATTGATACTAATAAATATTACGATTCAATAGTTTAAGTGTACTATGCGTGTCATTCTCAAATTAATCATTATATATTCTTCGTGTATCCTCATACACGTGTGATTAGTTTTAAAATCATTAAAATGTCATTAATAATAGTTTAAAATCGTTCTATTATTTAATCCATCTTTGTTAAGCATGAACTAGCTGCGTATTCATTTCATTCAGTTTGATTTATATTTGTTTGGTGTGATAATTATTTTTAAATAGTTGATCATACCAATAGATCATACCAAATTTGCAGATATAAAAGGAAGTACGTAAACTTCCCACTGTTAACCAGACAGCAATGGGTATGTGAGTCATTATATCTAAACCATTGAGAATAATAATCAGCAGTGTATCTGTGCGCAACAGAAAAAAATACAAAACAGCCATAATCTGGATTTGATAATAGTCGTTCTTAACAAAAATAAGATCTACGCCAGCTGCGTATTTTCAAACATCATTCCCTGGAATCATTTTGGCGACTTGGCGTGATTTAATCATAAAGATGAAAAATTAAAGATGCTTTATGAACGCTGTAACCCTAATGCATAAGTTGTTTACGTTGATGAAATGAAAAGAGCCGCGATTGCTCAAGGCATAGAGCTTTTGCCGTTCAATAAGGTGAACCGGGTTCGAATCCCAGCGATGGCTAGTCGATAGGAATTTCGCATCCAGCTTGCACCTACCACAGTGCTGACATGAACCATCATCAGTGGTAGATTGATCATGGGTTAGAGTTCTCTTGCCATCAGACTAAGCGTGAGAGGTTTTTGTGGTTTTCCTCTCCATGCAACGTAAATAAAGGTTAGTTCCATCAAAAAGTCCTCCACGAAGGCAAATTTCTCCCAACACTTGATCCAAAAGTTCCCTTGTTTTCTGGATTGGGTTCAAAATTACAAGGCTACGGAGTTGAACATTAGTAGTCGTAAACCCAAAATTGGGTCGGCTGTTCAACGACGGTTAGAAAATAAAATGAAAAAAAAAATTTTTTTTAATGAAAAAAATCTAATTATCTTTATGTATAGGCATTTAAATATATTTTATTTTATTTTTGTACAAGATCATAGAATTAAGTCAACAAATTTAAGATTAAAATATATCACAGAGGCATTTTATTTTATCAGAATACGTCTTTGAAGATTAATATTTTTTCTTTGTAGCTTACAATTTTACTATATTGTTGTATATCTCAATTTCAATATATTTTATTTTTTTCATCTTAAATTAAATTTTTTTGTTAAAACATTTTCTTGTTTATAAAGCATAATTTAAATTTTTAGTCAATCTAATCAGTAACATTTGCTTCAATTTAGTCAATCTTTTTACTAAACACTGAGGTTCTAATCAGCTTTCAAAACATTTATTTTAAGCACTATTCATATTTTAATTATTATTCTTAATAATAATTTTTCAGTCCAAATAGGAAAGTAAAAAACTTTTAATGATGTATGAAAGAAAAAAATAGAATAGCCTCAATAACAACCTTGAGAATAATTATTTCTTAGTAATGCTAATTTCAGATAAAAATTATAATTTTTTCATTAATACTTGAAATTTTCAATTTTCTTTTCTTTGTTTGCTGAAATTGCACGTCTGGAACATAATATTCAAAGTTGTTATTGAACATTTTTTATATAATTATATCACATTTTACTATTGTTTCTGATTTTTGTTTGCCATAAATGCGGGTAATTTATAAACACAGTTTTTAATTTGTTATTCCTACTATTCCAATCAATTTTTTTTTGGCAAGAACGGGATGTTTAAGCTAAGTGTTTTTTCCTCTTTTTCTTTAAATACAAAACTAGTAAGAAAATAATATGAATTAAATTTATGACACCAGACAAGTTTCTATTACAGATGAAATCTTACAATTTAAAAATGAGGTGTTTCAGGTGTAAAGAAAATGTTTCTTCATTATAATAATTTTTTTTCTCAGTTCATACCGTTAAAATTTTTTAACTGAAATAGTTATGAATCTTTTATTCATACAACGTATAAGTTTAGAAATTTATAAAGTGTAACTGAGAAAACATAAAATTGAGGAAAAAATGCCTCACAAGTCGTATCATGTTTTTAAAGCCACTTTTCATTCACCATTACAAAACAGTATGCAAATATAATAAAACTAAAATAAACATTTACGTATATCAAATACAAAAAAGTAAAGAAAAAATATCACACATGTTGCAGCACCTTATAAAGTCGCTTTTTATTTACCAATTCGAAACAGTATGTAAATATTGCAAAAAGTAAACCTAAATTTACGAATACCAAAAACAGCAAAATAAGGGGGGGGGAATGTCACACAAGTCGTAGCACACCTTTTAAAGTCACAACCTACCACAGGATGGTATTTGCCCATAGGTGGTAGACACATTTACTCCATTTTTTCCCTCTAATCGTTACAGTTACAGTAGCAACAATTTGTCACATCATTTAATCTATGCATTCCATGGAGAGGTGATTAATAACACATCTAAATGAAATCAGTTCGCCCATGAGATCATAATGAATGTATGGACACTGGGAAACTCGTATCACAGCTATGGGTCAGGTCTTCTGTCTCTCATTAAGTCGTGAGAGCTTGCGACTAATTTGAAAGCAATAAATCAATAACAAGAAGAAAAATTATCATTGCCAATAAATTATGAAAGGAAAATTAACCTTTCTAGTGTAGATTGGGATCTCCAAACATTTGTTTTATCTGGCAACTTCCCCGATGTAGTAATTTTATTTAAATATTTCTTGCATGCATCAACTGTATGAAATCTTTATAAGCAATAAATTTGTCGCAGCATTTAATGACATAATTTTAAACGAATATTTCTTAAATATATCGTCTCCGTTGAGTCAAGCTACCCCAAAAAACTCTTCGCTTCCTTAATTTTGTTAAAAACAGACAAAAATAAAGCATTCAGAAACAAAGTCTAACAACTTAAGATCGTTTACATCAGGGATGAGAGTAGTTGGAAAGTAAAAAAGAGGAAATTCAAGAATGAATATATATATATATATATATATATATATATATATATATATATA